TATATATAAAGCTTGAGTCCTTGACTTATAAAATCAAGTTAAGTAGACGCTGGCTCGGAAGCTAGAGAAATAGTCTCTGAGAAACCAAACACGGATATCCATTATAAAATTAGCACTTACCTCATCATACATGAACTGCAGAGTCAGAGCGGACTTCCCCACACCACCACTGCCCACCATGATGACTTTGTGTAAGGCCAAAGAATTCTGACCCTTGGGCTTGTTTGCAGCCATTTTTTGTTGCAGAGTTTTCACCAAAGGATGAAGAAGATCTATGAAGAATGAAAGAATAAGTAGTCCTCAGTATATTCTTCTCCATAATTCCAGTGTAGGAAAGAGATATGATGTCCTTAGGGTTCAAGAAACTAGTTTTCATTCTGCAGTGATTTTAAACAGATGGCAAATGAAGAACACTGATTCAGGGGAAGAATCACTTATCAGAGAACACCATGGCAATAAAGCAAGCATGTGACCCAAGGGCATTCTCTTATAATAGTTAGTTTTCAGTAATGAGCTGTGTCTACAAGGGAAAATTTCCCAGTGCAACTACATGCTGACAGTAATGGGGTATTAAACCTGTTGCCGTCAAGTCAATTCTGACTCAGAGTGATCCTACAGGACAGAGTAGAACTGCCCCACAGGGTTTCCAAGGAGCAGCCGGTGGATTCGAATTGTGAACCTTTTGGTTAGCAGCGCAGTTCTTAACCACCGCACCACCAGGGCTCCAATGGGGTATTAGATAAATTGAAATATAATCACATAGATTATGAAAACAGGCTAACTGATCACTTTATTTTCATATTAACCTATATTCACGATAATTAAAGAGATATTCCTTAAAATTTCAGTAAGAAAAAAACTGACCAGAAAAAAAAAAGACTGTCACCCTTAGACACCCCTCTAACTTGGAACTGAAGCCACTCCTGGAGATAATCTTTCACCCAAATAATAGACAGGCCTATAAAATAAACAATAACACTCATGAGGAAAGTGTTCCTTAGAACACTCATCTACATGAGACCAAAAGGGCAACATCTGCCCAAAAGCAAAGATGAGAAGACAGAAAGGGAAGGAAAACCGGATGAATGGAAATGCAGAACTCAGGGTAGCAATGGGGAGAGTGCTGACACACTGCGGGGACTGTAACCAACGCCATGGAACAATCTGTATATAAATTATTGACTGGGAAACTAATTTGCTCTGTAAACCGTCACCTAAAACACAACAAAATGTTCAAAAAAAGACTGCCAATGTCTTATTACATCATGCCCTTAAGGACTTCACTTACTGAAAGGCTTACTTAATGCCATTTTATAAAAGGAAAAATCCCATCCAAACATCTTGGTAGTAGAAAAATAAATAGAATGCTGCACACCCCAACTTGCAAGTCATATTTCCTGAACATCTCTGTGTATTCTGGGATCATGGTCAATCTCTAATTTAAAGACCTGGATCTAGTATGCCCTCAGTTTCCTCAGAACATGTACTTGTTTAATACATTTTTGTGTTCAGTGTGGAGAAGGCCAGGTTCCCACCGAAGCTGTAGTGGTGATATGCACGAATGGCACCCAGTTACCTTTGGCCATAGTGCCAGATATCTGAAAGAAACGCAGTGAGGTCACAACAAACACTGTGTGGAGGCCCAAGCCTAGAGACTGTTTGCTATCAGGGGACCGAGGGGGCTGCACCCCTCCTTCTCAGCCTCTCTGACTTGTTTTAGTCAGACGGAGCTTTCCTAAGTTGCAGCTCAAAGAACATGCCACATCCTGCCTACCTCTCTCTATCTTGTGCCGTTCTCCCCCGGCTCAGTGGCATCAGGCCCACGGTGGTCTCCTTCAGTTCTTCAAATGCTCTTCTCTACCTGGCCTTTGCCATACAGTTTCCTCTATTTGTCATATTCTTCATTCTATCTGGCTAATTTCTCTCAGGTTTTGGGTCTCAGCCTTACCCAAAACTCTCAATCTAAATTAGGCCCTACCCTGCCCTGTGTTTTCATATACCATCTTATACTTTTCCTTCATAACCCTTTTTTTTTTTTTTTT